TAATGAAACTTTCAAAGAATCTTTATTACATATTGCCATTGTGCACCTCCTATTTTACTTTTTGATCAGACACATATTTTGGGTTTCCCAGCCACAGCAAAACATGGACTTTGCCATTATAACCATATGGGAGGCGGGGGGTATCATTTAGTGAGCTTATTGCTCACAGTACCTCTAGTTGTTACTATCATAGAGAATATTTTACATCACCACAATGTTTTAATGTAATAGTTTATTCAGCATCTCAAACACTGATATCTTCAATACCATGCTTTTGTCATTACAAGTATTTTGAAGTCCCACACATTTATTCTAAAAGTATTTTACCCTTGCTCTCTGATATTTCTTAGATTTTCCTTGGTCCCATTGAGTTTGAGATAATGAGATCTGACTGTATTAAAAATCAAGCTGAAAGGATCAGAGTGATGGCTGTGATGATGAGTAAACTGGGTCAACAAACATTGTTTCATTTTTTTTATCATTTGCCGATGGACTAATTTATTGTTATGCAATAGTAAACTCCTTGAACCAGTGAATGTTTAGGCAAATCAATAAATCCACTGTATTTAATTTTTTTCTTTTTTTGTCAGTTGTTTATTTTATCAAAATTTCAATTCTAGAAGAAAAGCGAATTTTGTCTAACATATAAAAGTGGTATACTCTCACTGTAACCTCTGCCTGGTGCGATTCCTCAAATTAACGGCAGTAATTTCTAAATAAAACCTCAGCAACAAATAAATACGTAATGATTCTCTATCCATGTTAATGGTCTTGGCCAATCGTAATCGCCTGGTCTATTTCAGAAAGGGCCATCTAAGTTAGCAAATTTATGTTTCCCATCTGTAGGGAGATAATCCTATTTGTGGGTCATCGACTTGTCGAAGAAAACATAAATGGAGGCAGCCAAGGATTCAATCCACAGCTGTCCATGCCAAACATCTACCATTTCACAAGATAATGTCCAATTTGTATATAATCACTCTTAAATATTTAATATATAAGTAAACTGAAGAAGCTTAAATATGTTATTATCCTCATTCTTTCACATATATTTAATAAACCCAAAATGTTTACTTCAACCTCCAAGTAATGATTGAATGAACCTAAAATGTTCATTTCAACCTCAAAGTAATGATGAACTTCCGAAGTGCAAGCCTTTTCTGGAAAAGCATTCAAAAAACAAATATATATATACACAAGTTCATAATGTGATAATTTTGAGACTCAAATAAAGTACGAGAGCCATGCAAATACTAAAATTTAGGTGAAAATACTGTTCATTTGATTATAAAAGATCTGTGCAAACAAAATTGTACAGATATATTATGGGTAATTACATTACATTTATCACAGGAAACAAACACCTTTCAACATGAGGTTTTCTTTTACAATTTCTAAATACAAAAGTCAGGTCAAACAAGACTTTCATAGTTGTGGGAGAAAATAAGTGATAACTAGTGGTTTCTGGTAAACAATTCAAATCACGTACAACACAAATTTCATTTCAAGTGAAATGTTTGTGTTTCCCTCATGATCATGTGATTGTATCAAAATAACAGACATGTACATCACTCCACACAATATGTAAGTGACTTAATGAAGCACGTGCAGTTGTATACAACTACTCACCCATTCAGAAAACTGACTTTTCTAGAACCAGACTCTGGTGTGAATCTTCACTAAATGTATTTTTGATTATGAAACTTTTCTTAGTGTGTGTGTGTGTGGGTGAATGTACAAGGGTTGATCCAAAAGTTCGTAGAATTTCTTCATATTTTATTCATTTTCAAGTGAAATTGGTTGAAAATTACCCTTATTGAATAATTTATATATTATGTTTGATTATATGTTATTTATAACAATTAAGTCCTTGATTAAACTCTTAGTGTTACTGCAACATTAATTATAATCAAACTGTATTTGGGGCATTTTGAGAGTATATAAAAAATTTTTAGTAACTGTGGCAACACTGTTCATTGAAAACACAGAATTATGTACTGTTCCTTGTATTCAGTTAATTGCAGACCAAAACTGTAGGAGGAGTAGCATTTTGAAAATATTTTACAGAAATTTCTATTTTTAAACGTCAATACCGTTCTGTCGAAATCAAAAATGATAAATAGAATTATGTATCTTAGTGTAGTCTACTTGTGTGCAAAGTTATATTGAAATCAGACCAACACTGTAGGAGTAGTAGCATTTTGCCAATTTTAAGTTTGATACACAGAATTATGTACATGTACCTTTTTTTCTTTGTGTGCCAAGTTATATTGAAATAAGACCAAAATGGAGGAGTAGCATTTTGAAAATATTTTATAGAAATTTCTATTTTTAACATTCAAAAACACCATAAAGTTATATTGAAAAGACCAAATCTGTAGGAGAAGTAATTTTGAAAAAAAATCTCAAAAAATTCTATTTTTTACGGTCATATCAAAAACCAATACACAGAATTATGTATCATTTCTTGTGTGCCAAGTTATATTGAAATAAGACCAAAACTTTTTGAAAGAATTTCACAGAAATTTCTATTTTTAGTAACCATGGCAACATAGACAAAAAGTTACAGAATTATGGGTGACTTGTGTGCCAAGTTATATTGAAATCACAAAACTGTGTGGTTGAAAAATTTACAGACAGACAGACGGACAGGATACGTGACCTATCGCATAATTTTGGTATTATAGAGCTAAAAAAAAATAAAAACAGTTGCCACAAAATCTTATCATTTTTATTCTTGATATGTGAAACTCTGTACATAAAACAAAAATTATGTAATTATTACAAAAAAAGATTGTTTTAGCCGGGCTTATTGCTCAAAGAGCAATTCACTAATTAAAGTTACTAAATTTTCTTTGTACAAACGCTAAATAAAGCAACAAAAATAAAACGAAGTTTTATCTATATAAAATAAACATTTGTAGTAATGACTTTGAAAACTTTATGATCATCAAATAATTGCATTATTTTTAAAGGCATAAATAAATCATGGAAAAACTCACTGTCAGTGTCTTATCATAGTTTTAAAATATTTTTTTTTCATCAGAATATAAACTTTTGTAAGAAATCCATTTCCTGTATACTGGCTCTCTACTTCTTACTTTGATTGGATATTTAGTTTATAAGAAGCAAATAACACACAGACTAAAGACATACGCAAACTGCGGAAAAACAAACTGGTTTTCCAGTGACATAAGAAATTTAAGAAAAAATGAACTTCTTGGATGTTGACCAAAGCAAATTAAAAGTGTGAATGGAACTATTGCTACTGAAATTGGAACATGTGTTTATTACACCTTTACACACAGACGAATTGGAGACAGACAAACTCTGACATATCAAACTTGACATTACTTGCTGTCACAACAATCCCAAAGCTTGTGTAAACTTATTGGTGATTGGAAAGTGGTGAAATTTTCCAATGTTATTGCAATTTGACTCTATATTATAAATATGCAAGTTGTTTGCTTTCATCAAATCACAATAAAATTTTAGAAAGAAATTCCACGAACTTTTGGATCAACCCTCGTAGTACAATAAGTTGGAAACCCATATTTATTTACATTATGTTTGAATTGTTATTTATAACAATTAAGTTCTAAAACTCTTAATAAATTAATGTTTCCTTGGGCAAAAAAAAATGTTTCCTGAAACCTGACTGCTCCATTCAAATTGCAGCCATTTGGATTTTTTTCTGATGCAATTTTAAAGAATAAGGTTGAGATAAAATCTGTTATCAACATTCACCATAAATATGAAGAGTAATTATTAATATTATACTTTCATGTAAATTAGTTGAATCTGATTGGCCGAGAAACATTTGTTAAAAAACACTATTACAGAAGCACATGCAACAGTCAACATTGTACACAAAAAAATAGACAGAATATATGCGCACACGGTTCACTGTTATATGTATTTGTATAAAACATTCAGATGAGTATAAGAAATTACTTGTTGTTCATTGAAAATCCCAAAGCATTATGGTTTTCTGAGAGATGTTACACTCAACTACATGCAATATTTATATCTTAGGCCATAATAAAATTATAGTTTGTTTGGAATTGCCTCCTGTCTAATTGAAATGTCCCTTCCTGAAACATTTTATTGACCAAAAGTAGGAAGATTTTTTTTATTTAATCAATTTTTTTTTACATGTAACACATGCACGGTGAAATATAGTGTCAGATCTATTGATGGTAGATACATTTCTTAAAAGTCAGAAAATGTATTTACTGTTTACTGAGATTTTTATCAAAAATTTATCTTTAATTTAAAAAAAAAAAATATTTTACCTCCTTTCCTCCTGTGTCCGAAACCCTTCAGGCGGCAATTCCAAACAATCATTTTTTTAAGGATGGCCTTATTTCATCTGGCATTTCCCTTAAAACTTTTTGAAGTTTTTTTACTGTCATCATAGACAGTTAAATTGGGTGTCTGCTGTAAATATCACACCTGGTTAATTTCAAAAACCTTACTGTACTCTGTGCACTATAAATAAAAATGTCATTTCATCATATTTTAAAATCACTGATTATACTAAATTTCTTTGTACTGACTTAACACACACTGACTTATAATCATCAAATAACTGCATCATTTTCAAAGGCATAACTTTGTCAAGTTACCCAACATCTCTGTTACATGAAAATAGGATGCAGGATGACAACAATGGGGCTTCATCACCGATAGCAAGCCTAATCTCAACAATAAATCATAGGTGACGATAATTCAAACTTTTCTGTCCATTCCTTATACCCCTACTCTTACTTTTTTAGAAGCAAGTGTGTCAATGTGTGTATGTGTATTAATTATACCTTTACTCTTTTTAGAGCATATGGCACATAGGCAGACAGACAGACAAACTCAGACTATAGACTTAATTGCTGTTCATCCCAAAGCATAAGGTTGAGCTATCCTGCTGTTCATTATAGGTTTACTCTTCATAGAGCACATGACATGTACACAGACAGGCAGACAGACACTGACTACAGACTTACTTGTTGTTCATCCCAAAGCATTAGGCTGAGAGACCCGGCTGTATCATTGACAGAGTTGGACATTTTGTACACGGTGTGGTATTTGGAATTGGAGGGAGTTTCATCAGCCTTTTTCTGGACAGAAACCTGAAACCAAAGACAATTAATTAATGTCCAAATTTCTCAAATTATATATTTCAATTCAAAATCTTGTAAAATAAATGCACAACTGTCTCAAATAAAACATCTAAGGTCTCAGGAATACAGGTACATTGGGATTCTAATTTTTGGTGCCTTTTTCAGTCTTTTAGTGTGTATGTGTGTATGTACTTGTCCATAAATATGCTACAAATCCTATCAGGATGAATCTAATTAACTCATTGCAGGGAAGAAGCTTAAGCAGAAATGTTTTGAAAAGATGAAAAGACACATGGAAGCACAGGCACCTGACTTTACTTATTTAAGATATACTTTTGACTGTTTAAGAGAACATTGATATACTGTGAAGTAAAGGAAAGACAACTCCCCCTGGTTTACAACTGAAGGCAGCATATTTGCAGGAAAATATCATTGATTAAATAAATGAAAGAAAAAGAGAGCAAGCTCACATACCCTACGCTCCCCAAAAAGTCAAAGTGCTGAAATTCCCGAAAAAAAAAAAGGAATCGGAATTTCCTGGTAATATGCACATCTACACATTGTGTCCTAAATATCTGCAAAGTTTGACGAAATTGTGTGCAACGGTTTATGAGGAGTTGTGCTGACAAACTGTTCATCTCTATATTCAAGATATAGCCAAAAATCTAAGTGGAAAAGTGCGGAAATTCCTGGAAATATGAAGGAATGACAATTTCCTGGTAATATGCACATCTGCACAATGTGTCCTAAATATCTGCAAAGTTTGACGAAATTGTGTGCAGCGATTTATGAGGAGTTGTGCTGACAAAGTATTCATCTCTGTATTCAAGACATGGCCAAAAATCTAAGTGGAAAAGTGCTGAAATTCCCGGAAAAAATAAAACAATCAGAATTTCCTGGTAATATGCAAATCTACACATTGTTTCCTCAATATCTGCAAAGAAGATGGCACAGTTTCAACACAAATTAACTCCTATATTTTTCTAAAATATGAAAGTGATATAAAAAATAAAATTCCCTGCAGTAAGAATACACAAATCGTTTTTCTCATACGACCTCTTAAATGCTAATTGTGACATCATTTACTTGTGCATTTTCTTAAAAAGTTGCAGAAGACATCAATTTTCAGTGGAATTTTCTTTCAGAAAACAGATTCTGCCACCGTCGCCCAGAAAGATATAGAGATATGTGATTTTTCACAGCATTTTTAAATTCATAATGTATCCAAAAATTAAAGCGGGCGATGGTGGCAGACACTATATTCTAAAGGAAAATTAGCACAGAAATTAGTAATTTTAGGGCTTTTCTGCATTAAACTTAGAAATGTACCAAATTAATGACGTTATATTTCCAGAAAGGCCCTCCTTTATGCCATATTCTTTAATGATTTATCATATTCATCTTCTCAACTATTTTTAAAGCCAATTTCATAACTTTATAAGAACATTAAATTTTTAGGGCACAATAAAACTCAAACAGTACCCCCTTCTTTGACGAAATTGTGTGCAGCGGTTTATGAGGAGTTGTGCTGACAAACTGTTCATCTCTATATTTAAGATATGGCCAAAAATCTAAGTGTAAAAGTACGGAAATTCCAGGAAAAAATATAGGAATCAGAATTTTCTTTTGGACCCCATGAATAGAAATAATTTTTCTACTAAGAAGACGCCTCTATTTACCTTGCGTACCAAGACAGAGCTCAACATTTTATCATTTAGGCTGTAGGGACATTATTTAACATGTAAATTGTTTTTCCATTACGTACCTGTAAATTAAGCATGTTCTGTGTTTTTCTATGACGTACCTGTAATTCAAGCTCGTTCGCATACGGAGGGCTAGCTGTCAGACAGAGTATGTGCCCAGAAGACGTGGCGGTCATACTGGACAGCTCAAGAGTCTGTGTCAGTGTCCTATTATAATCTCTGATGATGGTCAGTTTGTAGTTCTGTCTCTTCTCCACTGGTACCAGTTGACCCCTATCATCAGTAACGGTCACCTGGGATAAAGAAACACATCATAATACACCCAGTACCATCACCACACCTAGTTCTAATAATTTCATATTTTCATGGCAAGTTAAAAAAAATTAAAAACTTATAACTACCATGATCTGGCTGATCAAAACTTAATACTATATACTGTAGATTCCTTATTTTTGCGAGTACTTATTATCGTGAGACGGCTCTCTAATGTCAAATCGCGTGAATAATAAGTCGGGAACGGACGCTTGATCAATAGAATTTACATGGATTTCAGCTCCTTAAAAATAAAAGCAAGTAATTTTATTTCGCGAGTGTTGCTTCTCGCGAAATTATGCGATAATTAATTCCTCATGTATAATAAGGAATCTACAGTATTTGGATCAAGTTTATCTTACTTAACACTGTAAATCAACTATAGTAGAAGTGTTTTTTTCCATGTCATATTAATTTACACTTTGTGTGCAGTCACAAATTTTTAATGGAAAATTGACTCATGTCATACTTAATGTGCAAGTCAGGGAAATTGTGATTTTATGGAATTATGACTCAGTGGAACAAAGTAAATTTACACTATTTTCCTAGTAATTAGATATCATGGCGTGTCTATATCATAATCTAGTTGGTGACCTGGAACTTTGAGACTAACACTGTCTAAGTGTGGTTCAAACACATGTAACACACTTGTACCCTATTCAGCTATACTTTGCCTTAGAAAGACTTAAAATGCTTGTAATGCGGTAATTCGCGCCATTTCCTCATAGGTTAAAAAACTCTGGTTTGTAGAAATAAATTGAGTCAAATTCTAGAAGTAATATATTGTTAACTTGTATTTTAAATGAAAATTTAGAGTTTTTATTTTATATTTCCGCAAAAAACAGCTGTCAGTTAAGTTCTGTATGAAAATGGTAGTGATTACCTATGCATCGGAATGTGTCCGATGTACGGTGAAATGAGCATATTAGTAAACATAGGTAATCAGAGATTACAGAGCTCACCTCAACGAACGTTGTCTTTAAATAAGGCAAAGTCACACAATAACCCAACAAAAAGTGTACATTCAAAATTTATGCAATTTAAATTGATACTTTGGAATAAACCTATAAAAAAAACTTCAAACTAGTTCTTTGTCACAAAAATGTGATTAAAATCCAGCATCCGTAGCAAGTTTGAGAGTTTTCGAATCCCTTAAAGATCATTTGGATAAGTATAAAGTTTGCCTGCATCATAAATTTACCTGGTACATTATCTGAAAGATGTACATGTATGTTGAATTCAGCATCTAGAGCAAATCCATTAGTGTGCAGCCAAGGTCATCCATGCAAGTTTGAACAACATAGGGCTAATAGTTACTTAGAAATGAAACTTGCATGAAAATTTAACCTCTTACTCATCCAAAAAAATGTAGGTCACATTCAGCTTTAAGCAGGAAACAGATGTATCATCCATGCAAGTTTGGTCAACATAGGGCTTATAGTTAAAGAGAGATGAAACCTGCACCAAAAACATTGACTTGTTCACTCAACCGGAAAATATAGGTCACATGTGTCCGAAGCACATGGTTGCATCCTAAGATACCAACCATGCAAGGGTCTTAATAGGGCTCATAGTATCTTGGAAATGAAACCTGCACCAAAAACATTAACCTGTTCACTCAACCGAAAAATATAGGTCAGATTCAGCATCCGAAGCAAGCCTGGTAATGTGCATTCTTAGATGTTTCATACATGCAAGTTTGGTCAACATAGGGCTTATAGTTACTTGGAGATAAGACCTGCACCAAAAACATTAACCTGTTCACTCAACTGGAAAATGTAGGTCAGATTCAGCATCCGAAGCAAGCCTGGTAGTGTACATCTTTAGATGTATCATCCATGCAAGTTTGGTCCAAGCAGGGCTTATAGTTACTTGGAGATAAGACTTGCACCAAAAACATTTACCTGTTCACTCAACCAGAAAATGTAGGTCAGATTCAGCATCCGAAGCAAGTCTGGTAGTGTACATCCTTAGATGTATCATCTGTGCAAGTTTGGTCAACATAGGGCTTATAGTTACTCGAAAATGAGACCTACACCAAAAACTGCACCAAAAATGTTAACCTGCTCCAAAAACATTAACCTGGTCATTCCTTTGCTGAAATTGCAGCATCTGAAACTTTGACTGGTACAATGAAACACATTAGAAACATCTTCCATGCATGTCTAATCAATATAGGACATAGAAGTACTTAAAAAGAAAACTGCTCCAAAAAACTTAACCTTAACCCGGGACGCCGACAAGGACACATTTTGACGCCGACATCGACGCCGACTATATGTAAAAAGTGCTAAGCTCCCCCAACTTCGTTGAGGTGAGCTAAAAACCAGCTTTAATGATGTAACTTCAAGGCCATTCTCAGGGTATTTTTATCAAAACATGATAATAACCATCGGTATCATTAAAAAATTTAAATCTTCAGCTTTAAGACAGAAACAAATAAATACAAGGAACTCTTAAGTTTAAAGAGAGTTTATTGCCTAAAGTTGTCCGAAGCCAGGTATGTGTCCGATGCATGGTTAACTCACCGTAATGCATGGCAAGGTTGAATAGAATGACCCTACTTACACAATAATAGTATGGTATATCGGGAGAGAAGTAATCGTCACCCGTTATTTCAATCTTCATCCCACCATAAGTCAGCTGGACTGTGGTCTCCCCTTCCAGTTCGATCCTGGATGACCCCTCCATCACTGTGGCCTTGACCTGCATAACTGGGTTATAGTAGGACAGCATGGTACTCAAATCCCCGGGTGTCAAGGTGAAGGTCGTAGTTCCTTCTACCTGTAACCATACAGAGATAATATCAGCTGACCCTGACTGCTCACAGAAATGCCTTCTTTGAATAATTTTTTGAAATATGTTTTTTCTTAAAATATTAAGAAAGCCATTCATGTTTATCTGAATTACAAGACACATTTTGAGTACAGCTATATGTAAAAAGTGCTTAAGTATGGAGGTTAAAAATGTGATCAATTCACATTAGCTACACAGTCAGCTTTAAAAGGTTCAAAAATTCTCCAAATGTACCACCATAAAATATATCCAAATTTTCAGAGTCAGCATACTTCCCATCCCTATTTAAATACTTTTAACACTACAGCATAATGTCTGGCTGTAAAAATGTGTTCTTAATCCCCAAGTGTTAAAAATAAAATAAAACCTGACCTGAATAAGAAAATACATTATAGCTATAGTAAGCCTTAAAGATTTCCATTTTTTCCCAAATATATATTCCTATGTAAAATTTTAATTGCCAGTTGTGCCCCCCCCCCTCCTTGGTGATCATAATTTGTACTTGAACCAACATCATCCAAGAATGCTTCCATATAAATACATGTAATAATGTCTTTGGTGGTTTTTTTCCTAAATACTAATACTAATTTTTAAGGACCCCACCCCCACCCCCATATGCTCCTACATAAAACTAAGTGTAATTAAATACTTTGTGATTAAAAGCTGGCCCACTGATTCTTGAGAAAAAGTTGAAAATGTATACAGACAACACTGTTTACCAGTTGTTAATATAAGATACTGTAAACGTATTACATTTAGCAGTGAATTCTATTGCAAGATTTTGATGGAAAGCAGAATCTTCTAAATACATTCAATCAAATTTAAGCCAAACTGTTGAAAAATTAATATCTGCCAAATATTGTATACACTAAATATAATACATGACAGTACAGAGACAATCCTATTACCAGGGGCTGATAAGGGGAGACTTTATCCCGACCACTTATAGACGTCACTATCCTGGCATCTCCTACTACATTCTCCCCATACGTATATCTGTTAAACACAAAAAAATAAAATTAGTACGCAGTCTCTGATTATACCGTATAGGTGGAAATTTTAGCGAGACGCAAATTTAGCGATTTGTCCTTAAAAACTGGTAATTTATTTTTCGCGAGATGTTATTTTAGCAATTTTAAAATGCACATTAAAGAAGCTATTACAAATAAAACACAATTAATTTTTAGCGATATTCAATTTTAGCGATCTCGACACCCTCACTAATAATGCCAAAATTAAATCCTTGCTAAAAATTCTACTTATGCAGTATATAGTTAGCACATCAAATCTTTTTCAAGATGCATGTAACCTTTCACATTGCAGAATCCTGTTTAATCAGAATTCAAACACAGTGAATCCTTAAAATTGTTATCTTAGACTCAAAAGGGACCAAGATGAAATTTGAAAATAATCCCTATCATTTTAATTACAAGGGAAATGAAAGTATATTTTCTGGTGGAATTACCTGGCAATGACTCGGACATCAAATGGTTCCTTACTCTTGGCGTAGAGAGATGGGGGTCCAATTACAGTCACTTCAAATCTCGGCAAAACTGATATAAAAAGAAAAGTGTTGTAAATGACAAGAGCTTCAACATTTTATTTTGAAATGAATTCCCAACATTTATCCTGAGAGATATGTGTACTTTATTTATATGTAATGTTGCTCTGTAATCGCTTGACTCCTAAGTTCTCCAACTTTCTTAAGAATCATGAAATCAACTTAAAAATAAGACACTTACCAAATTTATCAACTGTAAATGTTACCACAGATTTCACAACCTAGAAATAAATAATCAAATTATAAATCAACTAAAACATTTTTTATGGTCATTAATTTCAATGCTATTATTATCTGAACTTTAAAGTAAAATTTCCAAAACCAATTAAAATTTGTTTTTCCTTTTTTCTTCAATGATCAGCCAGAGACATCTTCAGTACTTTATATCTTGTATGTTTTAAAATCTTGCCACAAGGAAGATAACTCTGTGTACCTCTGAAGCGCTGTGTTGCTGTTCGGCATGAATAGACCAGTCCCCCAGTGTTGGGTCATTTGACAGGAGGAACTCTGCATTGGCCACACCTGTCACACAGAAATATTGTAAATAACAAACACACACACACACACAAAACAGAGATCTAACATGAAGCCCATGGGCCACAAAGCTCACTTACATTAATTCAGCCTGGCTGTTCTTCAGATGATTTTTTAAAAGCTTTTTTTTATTAAATCCCATTAAAAATTTTGACCCCATCTAATTGTCCCTTTACTCTAAGGGCTTAAGAATCCAAACATCATGGACTGCTTCAGTATCACTAACATAACCTTGCAGTTAGGGAAACAGAAAATCTTCATCTTTATAAATACACGAAGTAAAATTAAGAATCTGCATATTTCTGGAAAATTTCAAATGTTTATCTTTTCTGGTCCTTCTTTGTGTCTGGTTGCCCGTGTGGCAGAGTGGTTAGAAAATCTGCTCTAGAGTTGCGAAGTAAAATGTTGATCCTTAGGCCATGGGTCTGAATCCCACTGTTGGACATAGAGACTGGTCCTTTGGATTAGACTGTATAAACTGAGGTCCCCTGTCACAGTAGGTGTTGGCACAAAAAAGATCCCTCACTGCTCAATGGCCCTAAGTGCCAAGTATGGGACAAAATTCGCAGCTCTCCAACGACAAGTGTTGGCGTCTCCATAAGAGTGAAAAATTCTCGAGATGGACATTAAACAATGTACAATCAATCAATCTTTATGTCTGTAGTTTCACCTTTTCTGGGCAAGTAGAAATGTTTGAAAGCAAACCCCATCACTAGTATCATCAGCCCATGCTCAGTGTTCTGTGCAGAGTTTAACAAATTTAATACATCCATGAAAAGTAAACTGTTTTTGTAAACAGGGCACCAGCTCTGTTATTGTTAATATTTATGATTCACCGGGTGTGTTCAATTCTTAAAGTCTGCACATACCACTGAGCACAGACTGAAAATAGACTGTGAGAGAGTTTTTGCTTTCCAACATTCCTGGATTATATTTTAAACATTTTTCATTAATGTTCAACAAAATTGCCACTTTTCTTAAGTATTAATATTAAAAATTAAAATTTGTGAAAGTGCAAGGTTGTGTCAATTAAACCTGTCCAGAAATTTGAAGTTTCAATAACTTCAAAAGGAAAAGGAAGTTAGGATTTTTATCATATTTTATAGTGAAATGCTTTTGCGATATATAAGTTGTGATATTATACAGAAAATTTGAGAAAATATTAACTTTGAATCTGTTTCTAAGCACCTTCAATCCTGACATAAATTTTTGACAATTTTGATTTAGTAGAGAAATCCATGACTGTCTAAATATATTATGTCTGCTTGCAAATGAAATGCCAGCAAATTTGGAACATTTTAAAGATTAAATCCATTTTCAAAGTAAAACTGAACTCTGAATTCATAGCCCCTCTTCATCCATGAAAATCCAATCCCCTTGAACCCATAGTTTTTTCCTAAAACCACAGAAATTTGACCTCAAGAAAATTTGTGATTTCACAGTATGACTTAAGTTCTGTACTTATACCTGATACCTGATGCTGGCTCCGGGTTATCTGACTTAAGTTCTGTACTTATACCTGATGCTGGCTCCAGGTTCTCTGACTTAAGTTCTGTACTTATACCTGATGCTGGCTCCAGGTTATCTGACTTAAGTTCTGTACTTATACCTGATGCTGGCTCCAGGTTATCTGACTTAAGTTCTGTACTTATACCTGATGCTGGCTCCAGGTTATCTGACTTAAGTTCTGTACTTATACCTGATGCTGGCTCCAGGTTATCTGACTTAAGTTCTGTACTTATACCTGATGTTGGCTCCAGATTATCTGACTTAAGTTCTGTACTTATACCTGATGCTGGCTCCAGGTTATCTGACTTAAGTTCTGTACTTATACCTGATGCTGGCTCCAGGTTATCTGACTTAAGTTCTGTACTTATACCTGATGCTGGCTCCAGGTTATCTGACTTAAGTTCTGTACTTATACCTGATGCTGGCTCCAGGTTATCTGACTTAAGTTCTGTACTTATACCTGATGCTGGCTCCAGGTTATCTGACTTAAGTTCTGTACTTATACCTGATACCTGATGCTGGCTCCAGGTTATCTGACTTAAGTTCTGTACTTATACCTGATGCTGGCTCCAGGTTATCTGACTTAAGTTCTGTACTTATACCTGATGCTGGCTCCAGGTTATCTGACTTAAGTTCTGTACTTATACCTGATGCTGGCTCCAGGTTATCTGACTTAAGTTCTGTACTTATACCTGATGTTGGCTCCAGGTTATCTGACTTAAGTTCTGTACTTATACCTGATGTTGGCTCCAGATTCCTCCACATCTCTACTCTGTTTCCATCAGGATCCTACACAAGAAAACAAGAATTAAAGTACCATCAAATTAAATCCTAGTATTATTACAAATAATACAATAATCTGGAACATGAGACAAACTACTGTAAACCATTTTTTATTCGTGTGCGAGAAATTTTCGCGAGGTTTGGTAGAGCCTCATCATCAAATATATTACTTGCCCCAAATCGGTTCTTAAAGTCTATGTGCCTATTAACAACAGAACCTAAATAGGCTTGACCGTGAAAATTAATCGTCGCGAACTAGTTTACCACAGGTAAATCGTGAAATAAAGTCGCTGCGAATAAAAGTTGGTTTCTGAGTCAGTTTAATGTAGATTACAATACATAATATGGTATGTTTTTCAGACATTGCTTCCCTGCCACTAGGTAATTTTCTTGAACCATTTTCTTTTTCTAATAATGCTTTTGTATTACTTGAGAGCTTAATAATGCACCAGCCACCTTAACATTGATCCAAAGGGTAATATTTGTGGAAAATTTGGAATCTGTTACAGAAGAATATTTTCATAAAAATTTTCTATGGAAATATATTAACATATGATATGATTAGAAAAACATAGGTAATCAAAGATTACAGAGCTCACCTCAACGAATGTTGTCTTTAAGTAAGGCAAAGTTACACAATTAACAAACAAAAAGTGTACATTCCAAAAATGAAAATATTCATGCAATTTTGATCTAATACTTTGAAATAGACCTATATAAAAAATTCAAAGTAGTTCTTCTTCATGAAAATGTAATTAAAATCAAGCATCTGAAGCAAATTTGAGAGTTTTCATCCCTTGATGCATCATTTGTGCAAGTTTGGTTTAAACAATGTTATATAAGCCTTATAGCTTTTTGGTAATAGACCTGCACCTGTAACTTTTACCTGGGCCATTAATGACCATTATCTGAAAAATGTATGTCGAATTCAGCATCCAAAGCAAGTCCATTAGTGTGCATCCTAAGATGTATCGTCCATGCAAGTTTGGTCATTAAAGAACTCATAGTTACTTGGAAATGAAAACTGCACCAAAAACTTTAACCTGTTCACTCAACCAGAAAATGTAGGTCAGATTCAGCATCTGAAGCTAGCCTGGTCGTATGCATCCTTAGATGTATCATCCATGCAAGTTAAGTCATTATAGGGCTCATAGTATATTAGAAATGGGACCTGCATCAAAAACTTAAACTGTTTACTCAACTGGAAAACAAAGGTCAGATTCAGCATCCGAAGCAAGCCTGGTAGTATGCATCCTTAGATGTATCATCCATGCAAGTTTGGTCATTATAGTGCTCATAGTTACTCGGAAATGAGACCTTCACCAAAAATTTGACCTGTTTGCTCAACCGGAAAATGAAGGTCATATTCAGCATCCGAAGCAAGCCTGGTAGTATGCATCCTTAGATGTATCATCCATGCAAGTTTGGTCAACATAGGGCTTATAGTTACTTGGAAATCAAATCTGCACCAAAAACTAACCTGTTCACTAAACCATAAACATAGGTAATCAGAGATTACAGAGCTCACCTCAATGAATGTTGTCTTTAAGTAAGGCAAAGTCACACAATTAACCAACAAGAAGTGTACATTCCAAAAATGAAAATATTTAAGCAATTTTAATCTGATTTTGAAATAGAACTACATAAAAAATTTAAACTAGTTCTTCTTCATGAAAATGTAATTAAAATCCAGCATCTGAAGCAAATTTGAGAGTTTTCATCTCTTGATGCAACATTTGTGCAAGTTTGGTTTATACAATGATATATAAGCCTTATAGTTTTTTGGTAATAGACCTGCACCCATAACTTTTACCTGGTCTATTATCTGAAAATGTATGTCGAATTCAGCATCCGAAGCAAACCCTGTAGTGTGCATCCTTAGATGTATCATCCATGCAAGTTTGGTCAACATAGGGCTTATTGTTAATTGGAAATGAAACATGCATCAAAAACTAACATTTTCACTCATCAACAAAAAGTAGGTCAGATTCAGCATCTGAAGCAAGCCCAGTAGTATGCATCCTTATATGTATCATCCACGCAAGTTTGGTCATTAAAGAACTCATAGTTACTTGGAAATGAACTTTAACCTATTCACTCAACTGGAAAATGTAGGTCAGATTCAGCATCTGAAGCAAGCCCGGTAGTATGCATCCTTAGATATATCATCCATGCAAGTTTGGTCAACATAGGGCGTATAGTTACTTGGAAATGAAACCTGCACCAAAAACTTTAACCTGTTCACTCAACCAGAAAATATGGGTCAGATTCAGCATCCGAAGCAAGCCCTGTAGTGTGCATCCTTCAGTCTTCGTCAAATCTTTTTATCAGCACATGCCCTTCGGGCAGGTGTGATAACCAATTACGCAAGCCCTAACAAATATTAACATGCCCAGATTTTATCAAGTAATATTATTCTTATTTGCCTTTTCATGTCAAGGAAATAATCTGAAATCCATTCTGCCAATTTCTTGTCTTGCCAATTGTTTTCAACCTGTACACTTTTTGTGTCTCTTTAGCAGAAGAGTTCTTTGGAAATCGCGGTAAAATAAGATGTCAGTAAATTTTTTTTTTACTTCACTTAGATGGAAAATCAAAAACTTTAAAGTGTACATTTAATGTTATTGGTCTTATCTAATTTGATTATACCGAGGCTTATGCCTAAGAATTAACATGCCCTTTGGGCTTGTACATGTTGTAAGTGTGCAATTTCCACATGCCCGCTTCCAATTTTACCAGGTCCCGGGCATCAGACTCCCAGGATTTGTCGAAGACTGATCCTTAGATGTATCATCCATGCAAATATGGTCAACATAGGGCTTATAGTTACTTGGAAATGAAACCTGCACCAAAAACTTTAACTTGTTCACTCAACTGGAAAATGTAGGTCAGATTCAGCATCCGAAGCAAGCCCGGTAGTATGCATCCTTAGATATATCATCCATGCAAGTTTGGTCAACATAGGGCTTATAGTTACTTGGAAATAAAACCTGCACCAAAAACTTTAACCTGTTCACTCAACCAGAAAATGTAGGTCAGATTCAGCATCCGAAGCAAACCTGGTAGTATGCATCCGTAGATGTATCATCCATGCAAGTTTGGTCAACATAGGGCTTATAGTTACTTGGAAATGAAACCTGCACCAAAAACTTTAACCTGTTCACTCAACCAGAAAATGTAGGTCAGATTAAGCATCCGAAGCAAGCCCTGTAGTGTGCATCCTTAGATGTATTATCCATGCAAGTTTGGTCAACATAGGGCTTATAGTTACTTGGAAATGAAACCTGCACCAAAAACTTTAACTTGTTCACTCAACTGGAAAATGTAGGTCAGATTCAGCATCCGAAGCAATCCCGGTAGTGTGCATCCTTAGATGTATTATCCATGCAAGTTTGGTCAACATAGGGCTTATAGTTACTTGGAAATGAAACCTGCACCAAAAACTTTAACTTGTTCACTCAACTGGAAAATGTAGGTCAGATTCAGCATCCGAAGCAAGCCCGGTAGTATGCATCCTTAGATATATCATCCATGCAAGTATGGTCAACATAGGGCTTATAGTTACTTGGAAATGAAACCTGCACCAAAAACTTTAACCTGTTCACTCAACCGTAAAATGTAGGTCAGATTCAGCATCCGAAGCAAGCCTGGTAGTATGCATTCTTAGATGTATCATTCATGCATGTTTGGTCATTATAGGGCTCATAGTTATGGAAATATACCTACACCAAAAACTGCACCAAAAATGTTAACCTGCTCCAAAAACATTAACCTGGTCATTCCTTTGCTGAAATTGCAGCATCTGAAACTTTGACTGGTACAATGAAACACACTAGAACCATCTTCCATGCATGTCTAATCAATATAGGACATAGAAGTACTTAAAAAGAAAACTGCTCCAAAAAACTTAACCTTAACCTGGGACGCCGACACCGACGCCGACACCGACGCCGAGGGTATTACATAAGCTCCCCCAACTTCGTTGAGGTGAGCTAAAAAGTAGGTCAGATTCAGCATCTGAAGCAAGCCTGGTAGTATGCATCCTTAGATGTATCATCCATGCAAGTTTGGTCATTATAGTGCTCATAGTTACTCGGAAATGAGACCTTCACCAAAAATCTGACCTGTTTGCTCAACCAGAAAATGAAGGTCATATTCAGCATCCGAAGCAAGCCTGGTAGTATGCATCCTTAGATGTATCATCCATGCAAGTTTGGTCAACATAGGGCTTATAGTTACTTGGAAATCAAATCTGCACCAAAAACTAACCTGTTCACTAAACCATAAAAAGTAGGTCAGATTCAGCATCCGAAGCAAGCCTGGTAGTATGCATCCTTAGATGTATCATCCATCCAAGTTTGGTCATCATAGTGCTCATAGTTACTTGGAAATGAGACCTGCACCAAAAACTTTAACCTGTTCACTTAACCGGAAAATGTAGGTCAGATTCAGCATCCGAAGCAAAACTGGTAGTATGCATCCTTAGATGTATCATCCATGCAAGTTTGGTCATTATAGTGCTCATAGTTACTTGGAAATGAGACCTTCACCAAAATTTTAACCTGTTCACTCAACCGGAAAATGTAGGTCAGATTCAACATCCGAAGCAAGCCCGGTGGTGTGCATCCTTAGATGTATCATCCATGCAAGTTTGGTCAACATAGGGCTTATAGTTCCTTTGGAAATGAGACCTACACCAAAAAGTGCACCAAAAATGTTAACCTGCTCCAAAAACATTAACCTGGTCATTCCTCTGCTGAAATTGCAGCATCTGAAACTTTGACTGGTACAATTAAACACACTAGAAGCATCTTGCATGCCTGTCTTATCAATATAGGACATAGAAGTACTTAAAAAGAAAACTGCTCCAAAAAACTTAACCTGGGACGCCGACACCGACACCAACACCGACACCAATGCCAAGGGTATTACATAAGCTCCCCTAACTTCGTTGAGGTGAGCTAAAAATGCCAAATCCTTGTACAGTGTAATTCAAAATTCAAAACAGCAGGAAGTTGCCACATCATCTACTGACTTGTCTCTAAAAAGTGAAATAGCTGGGGGCATTAAAAAAAGTATAAGGGGGTCTTGGATATCTTCCCTAACATGGGGTTAAGGGGGAATATACCAGAATAAATGGGAAATGACATCATTTTAACCATGGATATTTCCCGGCAGCAGGGTGTTAGGGACAACCCTGCTCTAGTAAAAAGAGAAACATGATCTCAATTATATATTTTCTTTCATCAAAATTGAATGGTTACCTTAATATATATGGTGACATTTTGGTTTACAGGCATTAGATCTCTATCCAGGGCTAAGGCACGAATCAAAACTAAAATACAAACATCAAATCTTAACTGTCAAGTTATCATGTAAAAAAACATTATATGATTTGAACTTTAAGAAATACCTTATTAAATATGCCTACTTTTGAAAATCTCCATCATGGTTTTTGTTTATAGCATAATTTTACTAAACAAGGGGCCCAGGGCCACAATGCTCACCAGAGCCAATTTGGCTCTGCCATTTTTCATCAGCAGATTTCTTTAATCCTATTTATTCCTAGGTCTAACTTTGATTTCCTGTTTTGAATCCATTTTATCAGGTGCCATGATTTGAAAAAAAAACAACTTTAATCTAAATTATCTGATAATCCTCAATAATATTATGATTAATCAGGGATTTTCCATTCTTGAATTGAAAAATTTTAAAGATTTTCTCCTGCATATTCCAATGTAAAAACATGGAGCCCCTTTTGTGACCTCAACCTACCCCCAGTTGTCATTATTCAAATAAAGTATACAACTAAGGGCACTATTGTTCTTTTTAAAAAAAAAAAATTTGTCATATTTCTATATGTAAAACTTTGATTCCCCATTGCTGACCCACCCTACCTTGATATGAAACAATTTAAATCACAGTATATAATGAAGGTTTCAGAATTAAAAGATTCAATTTTTAGCCCAGAGGTTCTTGAACATGAGATCTTTTATAAGAATTTACCAAATTTAATTCTTAATTATCTTCCCCTTGAAAGAAAGTGTAGTCCTTTTCTGAATAAATATGAATCCCCTTCACCCAAGAATGCTTTGTGACAAGGGGGTCTGGAGAAGAGGTTAAGATATAAAAAGACAGACAGACAGATAGGCCAATAGACAACAGCGAAATGTGATCAGAAAAGTTCACTTGAGCTTTCAGCTTATGAATCAACATAATGGTTGCAAGGATAAACAGAGGAATTAAAAATATAGGCACAGATACTGAAATTTAAAATTTGGAAATTATATATATATGATAATGCACCTTTTTTTAAGTGCATTACTGGGGATACCTTTTTGATTTTTCTTGTACATCTTCTTGTCTGTTTGAATGTTCAGGAAACTAGACACCTCCTTAACAGGAACTAATGTTGAATTCACAATAATCCGGTTTGACTGCGTATAGGTCAAGGTCATGTTCAGGAGGAATGCAGAAGAAAAATCAGCTGTTACCTAGAAATCAAAAGACATCAAATTAGTTCTTACACCAATGACTACCAATGAAATGCATGTTTTCTTGGATCAAAATAAGTTCCTTGGCTTCTGAAACATTTAGTCCAGTCATCAAGATTACCATAGTTACACAGTTATCACCCTTTATACAGAATACATAATCTTCATGTATAAATATGGTAACCGAAAGTCTCCAATGAGACTGTAGCTCTACTGGTTTGTACTTAAAACGAAGAGAAAAGTAGCACTTGATGTTAAAACTATGCATCGATCAGTAAGAAATGAAATAATGATCCTTGATTTAGTTTCTTTTGGTGGCAAGATTTATCACAATCAGACTAAAACTGTAAGAGCAGTACCCTTCTGAAAGAATTTCACAAAAATTCCTATTTTTAATTAACCATGGAAACAACGTTCATCAAAGTTTAAAAAAAAAAGGCCAAAAGAGAATTTTGCATTCTAAATTAGTGTACATACATGCCAAGTTATACTAAAAATCAAACAAAAAACTGTAGGAGGAATAGCATTTTGAAAGAATTTCAGAGAAATTGATTTATATATCTTTTAGTTACATCAGCAATGTTATTAAAAATCTGAAAACTGGTCTTAGGATTCTGTATCTTTGTGTAGCCTACATCTGTTCAACTTATATTGAAATAAGTCCAAAATTGTGAATAGTAGCCTTTTGAAATTACCTGCATTTCTTAGAAATTTTTATTTTTTGCAACCATGACAACACTGTTCTTCGATTCAAAAACCAATGAATTCCTAGTATTGTGACTTAGTATAGTCTACTTGTTGCCAAGTAAAATCAAAATCAGACCAAAAGGTCAGCTAGAGTGGCGTTTTGAGAAATTGTTAACAGACAGACCAACAGGCAGATGGAAGAAGGGTCAGATGGACAATGGACACCTTACCAATTAATTTGGATAAGCTCTTCTGGTCTCTAGCTTAAAACAGTGATGTTTTGAACACATTGAAAACAGGTGTACAATCTCTCAACATTTCATTCATGTACCAAGTAAAAGAGTATTTATGATTTATTTTGCATACTAAGTACTTACTTTCATGTCAAATTTTACAGAACCTGCAAAAAAAATAGCAAGAATTATTATTGCTCATATTATATTAAAATCATATCTCGCCATGCGACTTAATTCCTATACATATATTTTCTAAATAAAAGGCTATAATTCTGCATACTTAGGCTTAGAATAAGAGTACTCTTAGACTAGTACTCCTACTCAAAGTTGTATGGAAACAATCATATCACGTTTATAATATACATAAAACAAGAGATTCTGAAGAAACTGAAAGGTAAATGTCCAGTTTGACCTTTGACCTTTGATGTGTCCTCAAAATCAATAAGGGCCAACAGTGTAAAAGAACTATTAACTATATATAGCTCTTTGTTATTCTGGTTCTTTGGTACCTAGAATACTACAAAATCACATAATATTGCACGGTGGAATCATACTGCTGCTCTATATGTAATTAAAATTTACAAAGTTTTTACAGAAGCAATTATCAGCTTTTCAAATGATGATGATGATTGAGATTCTATTTTTGATATTGACATTTCTTTTTAAATGTAACTAAATATTTTGTATGTAATCTCTTGAGACTTTAATGAAGGAGGTTAGTATAATTTGATTTCTTCCATAACTATGCTGAGTTTGAGATTATTAGCATTCCCAGATGTAATTTCAATTGGGAAAATGTCAAGCAATAACAAGCCACAAATTGATCTCTAATTGCTGTGTTTTTTTAGCGTTAATATTTTATGATTGTCATTGTTCCTATAACATTGTAATATATATACATCCTTGGATCGTAACAGATTGTTTGGGTCTTTAATGCCTGAAGCACACACAAGATTGGGGTTACTGACTTCACCCCCCCCTTAAAAAGTACACAAGGTTATCATCTCCAACCACCACCTGGCATTACTAAGTAACAAGTCTTATCTAGTGAGGATCTAAGATCCAGTCCTTACACAAGGTTACATGCTTTTCTTGCATTTTTTTCTTGTGGCATCTAGGTATAACAGACAATAATTTCTTGTATTATACACTGTTATACTTTCATGAAAATTAGTTGAATCTGATCACTGAGAAACATTTGTCAAAAAACATGATTAACTGCTGAATAATAAAGCCTCGCCTTCCAGCTTAGCAACAGTCAACATTGCTTGACAACTGGTGGTATTCCAAACAAGACGCCCATTGCTCCTTATAGGTCACCTAAGCATCATGCAACAACTTTCAAACCATTGAATTTGGTTTATGGTTCAAACTAGAGGCCATGACATTCACAATTTCGAAAAAGGCACCATTGCTCAGCATGACCATGCATACACTTAGCATGCTTAGTTTGGTTACTTATAATACCCATAGGCAGAGCAGGGGAACAAAAATGTACTTCTTAAATACACACTTTTATGTATTGTTATTACGCAAAGTTGTAGATTAGATGTTGATCATTTCAGCAATAATTTTTTTTTAAAAATGATTGTTTTGAAAGTTTATATTGACACAAATTTTGTTCTATCTAAACCAAAGATGTTCTCTATAAATAGATCTTTTGAAATAGTTGTTTGCAAGTTTCTGCGTCTTTTGTGTATTTATCAGTGAAAAACTTTTGTCCAAGGACTAAAGTTCATTCTTATAGTTCTATGGGGCTCAGTAAACTGGATTATTCTTATGGTTGCATGGGATTTAGGATGAATGAAAGAAAAAGTGAGCTAGTTCACATACCCCACGCTCCCCCAAAACTTGACGGTGAAACACATAATGAAAGGCACAGTGCACTTTAAATACATAGTATAGATCAAAAAGGGCAATAATTGCAAAAAAATCTTCACATCAAAATGAGGACATTTAAATGTGGAATGAAGTTTCTAGATAAATAATGGAATCAAAATTTCTTGGCATTATACAAATCCAAACATTAATTTGAAGTGGTGGGGGGGGGGGGGGGGGGAGAAATTTTCTTGAATAATAAAAACTCTTTCAGATAAAAGAAACTATGTACAACAGTTTAAGAAAGGTGCTAACAAACTGTTCATCTCTATATTCTAAACATTTTTAAAAGTCTAAGTTGGAAAGTGTGGAAATTACTTGGAAAAATACATGAATGGAATTTCCTGGTAATAGCACATCTACATATTGTGTCCTAAATATCTACAAAGTTTGATGAAATTCTGTGCAGCGGTTTATGAGGAGTTGACACAAACTGTTCATCTCTATATTCAAGGTATGGCCACAAATGCCTAAGTTAAAAACGGAAATTCCCGGAAAAAATAATGGAATCAGAATTTCCTGGTAATATGCACATCTACACATTGTGTCCTAAAAACCTGCAAAGTTTGACGAAATTCTGTGCAGCAGTTTATGAGGAGTTATTACAAACTGTTCTTCTCTATATTCAATATGGCCAAATGCCTAAGTTAAAAAGAGGGAAATTCCCGGAAAAAATAATGGAATCGGAATTTCCTGGTAATATGCACATCTACACATTGTGTCCGTTTTGCAAAGTTTGACGAAATTTTGCAGCGGTTTATGAGGAGTTCGCTGACAAACTGTTCACTATATTCAAGGTATGGCCAAAAATGCCTAAGTTTAAAAGTGCGGAAATTCCCGGAAAAAATAATGGAATCGGAATTTCCTGGTAATATGCACATCTACACATTGTGTTCTAAATACCTGCAATTTTTGACAAAATTCTGTGCAAAGGAGTTGCGCTGACAAACTGTTCATCTCTATATTCAAGGCATGGTCAAATGCGTAAGTTAAAAAGTGAGGAAAATCCAGGAAAAATAAAGGAATCTGAATTTCCTGGTACTAGTAATATGCACATCTACACATTGTGTCCTAAATACCTGCGAAGTTTGACAAAATTCTGTGCAGCGGTTTATGAGGAGTTGCGCTGACAAACTGTTCATCTCTATATTCAAGGCATGGCCAAAAATGCCTAAGTTTAAAAGTGCGGAAATTCCAGGAAAAAATAAAGGAATCGGAATTTCCTGGTAATATGCACATCTACACATTGTGTCCTAAATACCTGCAAAGTTTGACGAAACCCTGTCCAGCGGTTTATGAGGAGTTGCGCTGACAAAAAAAGAGGACTGACTGACGGACTGACTGACTGACTGACGGACGGGTCAAAAACATTATACCTCCCGCAACTAGTTGCATGGGGTATAATAATATTCTTATGGTTCCAAGGGACTGATCACAACTCGTAAATAGTAGGGATGTCAATTTTACTCGGACAGCTTAGTCGAATAGTCGGATGCTTTAGTCGAACGATAGTCGAATATTCGTTTAATTTTAATTAATTTTTCATATCATTTTCACTGTTTGTCTTTTACAGATTAGTTTACAATATTTAACCTACGCTATCACCATTATACACCGAATTTCTGAAATGTAAACATGTACGAAGAACAATAAAAACTGTTCATCAATATGTATCCAATTTACTGGATTTCAAAAGTAATATACCGTATAATCCCTATTAACCACCCCTGTCCCTATAAGCGCCCCTCTAGGTCTTTTTTAATTGTCAGGAAATAAGGACCCCCTGTACAGTGATTAAAATCATCTAGCATTGTATCAAAAGTCTGCCAAGATTTGAAGAAAGTGAAAAAGAAACTTTCTATAATCCAATTTCTTTGTGGAAAATGAATCATTTAGCATAATATGGATGTATTATCTTCACTTAAAGTAAAGTTAGACATTTTTCAGTGTTTCTTTGAAATAAATATATGAAAATAAATTTTAGGAAGAGAATACCAAAATAACCGCTCCCTTTTCGCAATTTTCTAAGCGCTCGGGGCGGTTAATAGGGATTATACGGTATTAGCTACACATTCATCTAAATGCAGAATATCAAAAGCTCGCATTTGACCTTTCTTTACATAACGGTAGTACATGTACCCCATAATTGAAGCCAATTTCTACGTGTCTGTCAATGATCTTTGACAGGTAAACAATTAAAGCGTGTCTCTTATAAAAACAAAGAGAGAGTGAGAGCTTGGGTAAAATTTAATTATGATATTTTGTCATCAATGATTGTATGAAATTAATATCAGAAAAAGAAAATACGGTTTAATTACTCTCATAACTGACCCTAATTTACCATTATTTACGATTTTGTGATAGTTGTATAATTAATATTTTTTCTGAATAGTTGTATCACGTCAGATCTTAGTTTGAATCTACAAAACTATTCAATTGATCTCTTCATTTGAAACTGCAAGAGGTAGACAATTATTAACAAACATGTTTGATTTTCTTTCCCAATCCGTTTTTTTTTTTTGCGGAGAGCTTACTTTAGGAAAGTTTCACTTGAAGACTGTGATTGCATGTATGTTTGACTGATTCGGCATATGATACATCATGTTTGATGGTACACTGCAGAATTCAAGATTACTTTGATGAAACACGATTTTAACTAATAACCGACTAAAGAAATTTTAGTCCATAGTCGGTATGATCGAACGATAGTTGAGTACTCAAATATTCGTTGACATCCCTAGTAAATAGGCATACACCAGTATCGATAACATTAACTACAATACATCAACACTAGGGTATACTCTTTGGTGTTTTATTTATGTAACAAAAAATGTCACTTAAAGATTAAAACAATATATATTACATGTATATGAAAATTTTATTGTGGTCACAGAATAAAATTAAATCAAGAAAGAAATTGAGACCTATTTTCGTGCGTTTTGGTGTTTTAGTCTAACACAAGCTAATTTCACATTATGACATTCGATAAGGAACTGGCATATATCTACTGTTTTAATATACATGCTCTTGGTATAGCACCAAGGTGTTTAAAATGGCACGAAAGTTATTAAAAAATAATTTAAGCAACACTGCATCAAGTGAATCATATGGATGGCCATCTACTTATAATATGTACATGTATATTGAACTTAAACAACATTTCATGTAGATTCCATGCGAGATTTTGGGAACCACAGTACACATGGTTATACACTCCGTAGAAATGTTATATATTTTCCTTCTTATTAATTCTATTTTAAAGTCTTATTATTAATTATTAATTTTATAAGATATTTAAAATTGTGACAGTGAATGAAATGCTCTCTCTCTCTCTCAAGCTCTCTCTCTCTCTCTCTCGATGATGAAGTAATCTTTTAACAAGACTGAAAAAGCCTGAATAAATTACAAGTATTGTTTCAGCAGTTTCTACAATAAAGGAGGTTTTCATGTATTTTTATAAATATTGTGAAATACTAGTATCTGATTTTCACATCGCGACATATTATGGAGGTGGTATACCCCAATATAAAGATATACTGGTAACATTGCACACCCTACCAAGGGCCGTAAATTAGTACAACTATTCTTATGGTTCCAAGGTATAGTAAGTATAACAAATATTCTTATGAGACGGAAAAAACAAATATTTATAGCGTATGAACACATCAGTACACCTGTCGTTTACCTTTCCCTGTGACAGTACCGGTCCGTGTACCAGATGCCCCACCCTTTGAGGACATTGTGACAGTAACATCCGCCTGCTCATCTAAGTTGTTTACGACAGTCACAGGGTAGTCATCTCCCTTTATAGCACTCTTAGGGGCAACCAGCAGGTAATTCCTTAATTCGCCAAAAAAAAAAATTATTATTACATTTTGTAAATTATAAATATCACAAAATTAGTTTATCTGAACTTCATTTGCAAGTCCCATAAGCCACATTGTTCAACTGAGTCAACTCTCCATCATCAGATTTTTTTCACCTATAAATTCTGAAGTAAAACTTTGAACACACATTATCCCCCTCGCCTTCCCTCCAACAACATTTGAACAATGCCCTTCTGTAATATACTGATTTTTTAATTGCAACTCTTGGGTACTAGCTGTGCCACCTTCCTACACCAGACAATGAAATGTATAATTTCAATAGGTTTAATTTGGGTAGTTACACCATATTTGTCTACAAATGAGTCAGTATTGGTTTAATCTATGTACAAAGTTTCATTAATATATGACATCAGGTTCCTAAAAAACAACGCTTGTCTACGGAAATTTGGGACAAACCTGGTATGTTTATCTCAATTACAAATCAATTCAAAAAAAACTGTCTATAGTATACATATAAATATTAAAGCTAAAAGAAAATTTCCCCTGATGACAAAGGGTTTTTTTTTTCAATTTCAAATGATTAAAACTGTAACAAATAGAATGAACTTGGATTATAATTATACTGATTGTTCAGTTGTCTGAGTTATTGAGTTATTGCTTTTATAGGTCATTCATTCCTTGGAACTCTCAAAAAAGTTGCTTTTTTATATAAGAATATGAAAATGAAAAAAAAAAAGATTTTCAGTAAAAACTGCTTCATCTTTTAAATTAAAAGTTGAAATAATTGACTGGTCAAGATTTTATCTTTAGTTTGAAAATCTGACATTTTTATTTAAATTTTCACAAGCATGCCATTTTGACTTATTGCTTAGAAATAAAGACAGAATTACTCCAGACTATATTAAAAAGACAATCCTCTCACCCTGTCTTGGCCCCAACAGGTATCCCTATCAACAGCAACACCCAAAACCTCATCATACTGCCTCAGCAAGCACCTGCAAGGTAAAAATAAATTATTGTATTGTGATCTGCTGATGTAGGCAGGTATCATCTAGTATATGACTATATCAAAAAAGACAGTTTAATGTCGTACAGTGTATTACAGTGTTAACCTTATCAAACAATAGGGAGTAATATTCAGCACATACTTTTTGTAATTCCTTGGAATGCAATCCTAAAAATATTGATTTGTGTTTTTTTTATACTGAGTCGCAAAGTATTTTCATTATCATACAAAGGATTTTATTTCCTCAACTCAGGATTCAACTACTATTATTTTCTAATTTTCTCATGCCATGGCATTAATTTCCCTAGTCAGATAATGATCCATATAAAAAAAATTAAAATATGCAGATTGAGACCTAAAGTCTCTATACATGTAATTATAAAACGAAAATCACATTCGCCCAAATAAAAAAGCCAACTTGAAAATAAACAACGTACACTTTGTGACTCAAGGCACATAAAAAATCTCTTAAATAACCCTTACAGGTACTTTGCGATCAGTTTGAAAGGTGCAGTATATACCATTAAAATGTCATACCCCAATAATTCCCAACGGTTGTCATTAAAATTCAGTAGAATGTGTAAATTAATGCTAATTATAGTAAACTAACTCTTCAGTACTTTCTTAATAACAAGTCATGGATCCTGTTTTTGTCTGAACCCAAGACACAATGTTTGTAAAACTCCGGTGCATTAGCATACATTAGATGCCTGCAGATACTCTGATAAAATGTTTGTGAACATTACATCGAAGACCAAAAACCTCTTAAAACAAGACTAATGTCCAGTCTGGTCCTTTACCCCCATAACAATACTGTCTCTCTCTCAACATTTATGAATTAAATTTATCCACCTGAAACACTCTGAAATATCTAAATTGAAATGTGTGCAATATAACCTGATAACTATATGCAAAAGCTCACTGATTAGAGAATTAACACTTTATTTTCCTGCCCAGCTCACTGATTATATAATTAACAGTTTGTTTCCCTGCCCAGCTCACTGATTATAGAATTAACGCGGATTCTTGCTAGATTGTCACTATTATGCCTTACATTTATATTAAGCTACGATTATGGATTAACAGTTTGTTTCTCTGCTCAGAGCTCACTGATTAAGATTAACAGTTTGACCGCGCTACATAGCGTAACATTAATACCACGATTATGGAATTAACAGTTTGTTTCTTGCTCAGAGCTCACTGATTATAAATTAACATGTGTGCAGATATATTATGAATAACAGTTTGTTTATATGCAAAAGCTCACTGATTAGAGAATTAACACTTTATTTCCCTGCCCAGCTCACTGATTATAGAATTAACAGTTTGTTTCTCTGCTCAGAGCTCACTGATTATAGAATTAACAGTTTGTTTCCCTGCCCAGCTCACTGATTATAGAATTAACAGTTTGTTTCTCTGCTCAGAGCTCACTGATTATAGAATTAACAGTTTGTTTCCCTGCCCAGCTCACTGATTATAGAATTAACAGTTTGTTTCTCTGCTCAGAGCTCACTGATTATAGAATTAACAGTTTGTTTCCCTGCCCAGCTCACTGATTATAGAATTAACAGTTTGTTTCCCTGCCCATATCACTGATTATAGAAATAACAGTTTGTTTCCCTCAGAGCTCCTGATTATAGAATTAACAGTTTGTTTCCCTGCCCATATCACTGATTATAGAATTAACAGTTTGTTTCCCTGCCCAGCTCACTGATTATAGAATTAACAGTTTGTTTCCCTGCCCAGCTCACTGATTATAGAATTAACAGTTTGTTTCTCTGCTCAGAGCTCACTGATAACTGTAAACCAATTATACGTCATTTTTTGTTTCCCTGACCCAGCTCCGCGACTGATTATTTCCGCGAACAAGGGAGGTTTTTTTTTATTTCCACAAGTATTTTTTGTATCAAATTAAAATTTTATATCCGCCCATCTACGTAAAATGCTCACTGATTGCTTACGTTGGCGAGAGAGTGACAGCTCAGGCATTATCATAATGTTTTCTGTCCATTGCGTCCATTTAAAATCTTATATCCGCACCTGAAGTAGGTAAAATGTTAACAGTTTGTATTATTCTCGAACGAAAATGTAAAAAATCAGGAGCTAAAGTTGATTTCAAACTCTCAATGTAAAAGTTCGTCATGCTAATTGGATAATTGCTTTACAAGATCTACATAGCCATAGGGCAATTATTATAAATTATGGCAATTATACAGTTTAACCAGGCTATTCTAACTGTCTGTGACAATAATGAACAATGATAACACAAGCTGAAATAATTATTGACATTTTAATCATTTTTAGACAAATAGTTTTAGATTTGCCATTCGCTGAACATGCTGAATGTTTGCAATTAAATTTCAACTGCTTTTAGAACACAAAATAGATTAATTAACGATCGGTATTCAAAAAAGGGCCAATAACTCTAATCGTAACATGGGAAAATGAACAACTGGTTCGCAACGATAAATATCCGCGAGCAGAGGTTACTCGCGGAACTCGCGGATATTTATCGCACGCGTACAATAATTGGTTTACAGTATAGAATTAACAGTTTGTTCCTCTGCCCAGAGCTCACTCATTATAGAATTAACAGTTTGTTCCTCTGCCCAGAGCTCACTCATTATAGAATTAACAATTTGTTTCTCTGCTCAGAGCTCACTGATTACAGAATTAACAGTTTGTTCCTCTGCCCAGAGCTCACTCATTATAGAATTAACAGTTTGTTTCTCTGCTCAGAGCTCATTCATTATAGAATTAACAGTTTGTTCCTCTGCCCAGAGCTCACTAATTATAGAATTAACAATTTGTTTCTCTGCCCAGAGCTCACTCATTATAGAATTAACAATTTGTTTCTCTGCTCAGAGCTCACTGATTACAGAATTAACAGTTTGTTTCCCTTCCCAGGACTCAATGATTTTAAATTTAACAGTTTGTTCACATCCAGCAGTCTTCATTGTGTTGTACTTATTTGCACAATACATCATAAGCACTGACAATATAAAATCAGAATGAATGAGTTGCCATCAAAAATTTATTTCTTTTAATAAAAACATGCAATGAAATACATCTACTGACACTGAAGCATCTTCCTGTATTATAAATAATAAATTGTCACCAACTGTGATGGCCAAGAGAATTTCAATACAAGAACTTGACAACTCATTATCAGCTTAACTGATCATTTACTTCAAAATAAACATTTATTTACAATAAATGATTTTGTTGCCAGTAGATATAATGGGCTGTTAAGTGCTTCATGATTACAGTTGTCCCCAAGACCCCAGGGCCAGGGGAATTCCCCTAGGGATGGGTATCGCCAAAAATTTCGTATCGCGATATATCAAGATTTTTTCCCACAATATCACGATAATATTGTGATATTTTTAAAAGCAGTTTTTACAATGATTTTGTATGAAAAGTCATTATTTTTCTAAAGAATATGCTAGAAAAACTAAAATTTACTTATATGTATATAAAATCAATTATGTTTGGACGGTAAGATGCCGTTCTTTTCACTTTTTACAACATTTTTTTTTACACTTTCTGTAATTGTAATTTGAAAGATTGAACAAATAAATGAACAATTTCTGGACTTTATAATATGTACCAAAAGACCGGTATTTAGGTCTCTGTATCACAATACGTATCACACAACAAAAAATCGCGATATAACGGTATACCGATAAAATCGCACATCCCTAAATTCCCCCATCTTTAAAAGCGCAATCCCCCAGTTATTCTGGGGAAGGAACCCCCAATGTCCTTCTACTGTAGATGTAGTTTTTTACCCAAGGATCATAATTCTGTGTAATCTCTATTTCTATTAAATCTGCTCACTATGTGTCTTGCATGTATATTAAGTATGATAAGATAATGAAAATTCTGCAGAAAATTTGTGACTGTGTATATAATGTAAATGAATATTAATTTCATGTGGAAAAAAAGTATTTCTCCAGTATTTTTAATGCCCCTTTCTGCCTCAAGTCTTATTATTAACAACCTTCAATGAATGTTTCTGAGGTTTTTATTGTTTGGGGTAACCTTAGAAGACAACGTTATACCAGGTACGCTGTACTAGAAAAACGGGTTAATAATTGGTTTCATTTTCTAATGTACAGTAGAGCATTGGCCTCCAGGTACTGTAATATTGGCTACCAATTACAATGAGATGAATCAAGTTCCAATTTTATTCTTTAATATTTCCTATGTTAAAATGCCAGCTATAGCAATATTGCTTCATAGGAGATTGTGTTAGAACATAACAGATAATATAACATATATAAGTCTCAGTGATTCAGCTTAGTGATTCCATAGGGGTACAAAATATGTTGTATACAAAATTATGTAACTCTGCAAAGTTGGGGAATGTTCTTGGGCACAGTACATGAACTAGCAATTCTGATTTATAATCAAGCTCTCTGATTATTGTGATTTTTTACACATTAATTCTTCTGATCATTAATTTCAACAAGAACACTACAAAACGATTAATGATATTTGACAAAAAGCAAATATTTAATATATCTCCATCCCCATCCCCCAATCTGAATAAACCCCCGGGTCAAGGATATCTTTGATTTTAAAAATAAAACCTTAATTTTATAAAGTTCTTTGATTTATTTCTGATATCTGTTTTTTAAAAGAAAATGTCTGTGTTGTTTTTCCTTCAGCTATATCATTTGACATTTTATTGAACTTTGTACTTGTGAATTTAGAAAATCCATGAAGCAGAGCTCAGTATACCTTATTTAGTGAGTTACCATATCTTCTAAAATTTTATCTAAAATGAATACTAGTACCAGGTACATGTTTTAATTTTAGCTGTATTTTACAAGTAATTTTGAAGCAACTACAGTGGAACTTTGTTATTTTGTACACCAGTATCTCGGATACCAGTGTAATATGGGATATGTCAAACTGACTTCGTAACACTTCCTCCTTACTTCTACCTTTGTTATCTGCAATCCATGGATATTTTGTGATGAA